CCCGTTTTTGCTCCGTTTGCATGACAGAGCGCACGGACTAAGACCAGACAGGTACGTATTAACTAGTCTAAGGTAAGGTAAGAACATATGTCAGTATGTAAAAACGGTGAACTATTCCTTTAATTATAGCAAACAAAGTACCTCAAAAAATTTGCTCCACCAACGTTGGAGCAAGGATCATTGTAAAATACGAGGAGGCATGGTGGCTGAGTGGATAGCACTCTCACTTCTCAGCAAGAAGCTTCTGGGTTTACATCCCGATCGGAGCAAGGCCTTTCTGAGTGGAGTTTGGATGTTCTCCCCGTGTCTGCGTAGGTTTCCTCCGGGTACTCCGGTTTCCCCTACCATTAAACACATATGCAATAGCTCATTGTGAATGAATGAGTGTGTTTGTGAGTGCGAATGTGGGACAACAGATGCAAATTAGCCCATGCCTACAATCCGGAGTGATGTGTTCATTAACATATACTGTCCCAACCAAAAAATAAATTCATAAAATTGTGTTGGATTTGAACATTACAATTGAAAAGCTAGAGAAACACTTTTGTAAAACAGTCCCACAACCGGAGGCCACAACAAATTAAGAGTTTTGTTAATTTAAAAAGTTAGCACGGACATTTATTTGATACAAACCATCTCAGTCTAATCTAATTAAGGTCTATAGAGTCCAAAGGTCTGGAGTCTTTTAAAAATCGTTGTGTGTTCACAAGTGTCAGAACTTAATAACCGTGGTGTAAACTGAGGCTGCCGGTCGGTTCATTTTTCTATTTATCCCTGAAGGTGGAGTTAACCTTCTCCAGCTCATTGTAGCCAGAGGACGGTAGTTTGTGTTGGTCATGGTGATGTGACTGCGCATAAAAGAAACGCTCTGACTGGACCCAAGAGTCAGCTCTCCCAATACTTAACATTATCATTGTTCAAAACTGACATCCTTAATATGTGCTGTGCCAAGTCCAAAGTCCAAAAACAGAAGGCTGAGTCCTGGGGTGGCACCAAAAACCTAAGGATATAAAAATATCCTTTTACCCCAATCATCAACATGTGCATTCAAATCGAGAAACACCAATCATGGGACTGACAAGGAGGACATGTTCTTTCTTCTAAACTCGCTGTTTTGTAGAAAGAAATTAGCAAAGGACAGACAAGATACCTTTACAATGTTGTAAATCTTCCAAGACAAACATAAGTCAAATATCTGCCAATATGTATACAGATTTTACCTACAAATCCTATCATATAATAACCCCTAACATCATGAATTTAAACAAGCTTGAAGACTCTCCTGTACAGTGTGTTGCTTTTGATATCTGCATTTATATAAAGGGTGAAACTTGGAAATTATTGTTCTCAGTTTATTTCTGTAATTTAAATATGATATAGACTAATTGCATGCAAAGTCACACATACCCAGCCTTCATTTAACCAGTATAATAGATAAAATAAGAATTATGCCTTATAGTCCATTTTCGAAATATAAACATTATCTGGGATTTTGTTGTTTTTGTTGTTGTTACAATAATCAAAAAAAGTTGTTTTATTTCTCACTGAAAGGAGTCTGTCATATATTAGTTTAACAATAGTTGGAAGTTTAGGCGCTGTATACAAAATGCACTTCCTTATTAATGCGGCTCACTACTGTATTGAAACCCATGTTAACGAAAAATAGAAAAAACAAAGAAAAAACATGAGCAGGAAATCAATGTAGTGACATCGCTTTGGGCTTAAACATATTCTTTACAAACAGTGGAGCACTATTACCTTCAAACAATCATCCAACCTTCCGTCCACATATGCATCAATCAAGGTGACCACTTAAAACCCAAACTCATCGGAACAAAGCAATCAGTAGCATATGTCCGTCCTCTTTTCATTAGGCCACTATAGACCGTGCGTGCATGTGTGGCTCCATAGTAAGTGATTATTAGCCAGGGTCAGCTAATTATTTGTGCTGGCTAATGAAGGTCACATGGGCTTGACTGTCTGCACAATGATGACCAGTACCTGATTGAGATAAGTGAGGCCCTCCTGTCATCCGTCATCTTGATTAACAGTGCACACCTTCAGCTAACCTTTACATTCACGTCTGTAAATACATTCTCCGTTTCATTGTATTATTGTATGCCCGATTCGTGTGTACACAATAGGGTTTAATTACAGTGCATGTAGAAAAAAAGGATTTGCTGTAAAACGGGACGGTGCTTTAAGGGGTTTTTTTTCATTTTTTTGTGGAAACGCAAAAAGTCACAGCAATGAAAGCTATAAGGACTGATAAAAAGTACAGGTGAAACTCAGGAATATTAAATTTGGTTATACAATTCAATTTAAAATGTAAAACCAATATCCCATATGATATAGATGTATTTTTAGTGTAGATGATTATGGCGTACAGGCCATTTTCATATCCATTTTCTGAGATGTTCTATTTGGGGTTTTTACCAGCTGCGAGTCAATTAGCAACATGATCAGAATCAGAATTATTTGTATTGCCATTCTAAGTCTCAAACTAGAAATAGAAAGATATACGTTCCTTTATGTCTACTGGGATTGTCATATTCTTGGGTTTCATTAGCCTGGCCTGTAGGGGGCGAATGAGCAGACCTCAGTTTTGCTCCCATTGAAAATCATGTAAATCGTGTCTGTTTTGGAGTCAAAAGGCTCTCCTCCTGTGCGGTGTACGGTTGTTGTAACAGTCTTAATCGGGAGGGGGACACTCAATTCTAAGGGAGTACTAAAAAATATTTCTCAAGAGGCTTGATTTTGGGCATTTTTGGAAAAAAAACCCAGAAGAAATTCCGATGTTTCATTCGGGTGGCCTGCAGCGGGCGCTTATCTGGGAAAGCCTTGATCCACCTTCGCCCGCCTCATTCGAGTTATTTTTTTAAAGTGTACTCCTTTATATGAGACCACAGTTGGAACACGGAAGAAACTCTTGTCTTTCTCTCTATTTGCGCGGTTGCTACAAGAGTGCACCACACAAAAAGATGGCATTTTGACAGCGCTTCTTCTTCTCTACTATATCTCCGTGTATAAACCCGGCAGACTGCACCGCCAAGGGTACGTCACGTCCGGTCCTACGTTTGTTATTCGCGCCACTGCCCTCATGTAATATGAAACCCAAGAATATGAGTTTTGCATTGTGCAGAAGTAAATTGACTCTCAAGTTTCACTTGAATGCATCAAAGCACTTGTGCAGTTTAACTTAATTTGTATTTAATATTAATGTGAAACAACAGTTTCAGTTAACAGTTACATAACTTACAAATGAATGAAAGCTGAAAGGTGGCAGTTTGGTCATGTACAGTAACTGAAAAATGGCACACACAAAAAAACTATATTTGATGATTGGTTCCAAGTCGAGCTTCGGTGTGCAAGACGGAATTTCAAATGAGAAAAAAAAAGACAGAACCAGAATAATCAGATAAATAAAGATCAACACTTCAAGAGCACATTCCTAAAAAAGGCCAAATTGGGACAAAAATGTTCATCAATGTTCTGATGGAAAAGTGAAAACAAAGAGAGTTTCACAAAGTATGAACTCATGGAGGTTGAACACTTTTGCAAAGCCAACGTTCAGTTTTATAGATTAGTTCACATTGGTCTTTCGATAAATTAAAAATAAGTTGTGACGTGATGAAATGTGGAAAAGTTCATGGGGTATGAATACTTTTTCAAGCCATTGTATGTTATGTGTCAGAAAGGAAAATGTCTCCAGTGACTGCTGCCATTATCATGATGGATGGCTCGATCAGAATTAGCCAGATTTGATAATAAGAGTGAAATTACAGATCCACTTACCTGGATGCCTAATGAAGTGAAAGCGACATTGTCTATTATTCTTGTATCATGCTTCATTGGAAGTCTTTATGGATATGTTGAGCTTTTTAAAGAGTCCAGAGCACAGCAGTGTGCCATTATATACCACGGACGTTGGCTTATTATAAAAGAAACAAAGGGAAGACGTTATTTGGAAGAATTCAGACTTATTTTGATTCAGAATAGTCTTCCTATTTACTTCATAGGCCTGCTCTAAAAAATATATATAATAAAAAAAATGTTCTTTCTCTTGTATAGTGAGATAACTCAAAAAAGGTTCAAACATTGGATCTTTCAAAATAGTTTGCATATAAATAAAGGGCTTAGTCTTTCGCCATTAGTTTTAGTCCATGACTGGCTACCTCTGCAGCCCTGCGCCTAGGCCCCAGCATTTCTAACAAGCAGCGGATACAGCGCTGGATTACTGTAGGCGTTAAATCAATAGCTGCCGGTCTCCGAGGCACGGCTATAGATTATGAATCAGTGTTGGTGAGCAGAGCGCCATGGTGGCGAAAGGGAGAAGGGAGACAGACAAGGAAGAGAAATATGAAGGAAAACCTAACTTCCACAGAATTATGTTTTCCACATTATAATCCAATAATCGTGTATGTTACAAGATGTAACAGCATTATTAAAAAAAAAAAAGTTATAATAATATCAGGCATATTATATAAAAAAGAAAAATTCAAACACTACTTGATTCAGGCTGAAAATGGTACACAGACAAAAACAATTAACTCCATATTTGATGGAATCAAGGGAAGGATGTTGTTCTCCTGAAAAGTGCTGCCGATATCTAACAGATCTGTGACTACAAAGCCCATTAACCTGTGTTGGACCTCTGGTGATAACTGCAGTGTTTTCTGTTGTGCTTTAATTCAGGCCCTCTGAGCCCTGTTTACAGATGCTATCTAAGTGGCTTGATTCGACTGCCAATGAATATTGGCATCTGTCTCCACCCCATAGACCCTGCTATTAGGCAGGAGAGCAAAGGGTTACGTAAACACAAACTGAACATGACATCTGCTGCACCTATGGGACGTCCACATGAGCGCAAATGTTCAGATCTGACAAAAAATTACACATTTTCTTGTGTTCCTCGTAATGTGGCAGCTCTTGTTATAAGCTTAAACAACAAGCCATAACACAAATATAAACAGAAGCTGCTTCAACCTTGCTATAGGGGGATGTTGGACCCACACTGCCCCCTGGCTCGTCTTCCTTTCTGTGTTTGTGAGCAGCGCAGACGCTGCAGGAAGAACTTGTCTCCCACCACAGATTCAGGGTCAGATTGCCCTGGACCAGCTCCCTAACCTTACCCATTAGAAGGATAAGAAAATATCTGTTCTGGGATCAGTGGCTGGGGGGCTGCAGATGATATTGAAGAGCTGTCAGAGGTGACAGAGTTCAGAGTTGGGCCCTCGGGAGCCATAAGGTGAGATTAGGGTCAGTTCAGGCTACAGCCTGAGTCTGAGTTAGACTGACAAGTCGGTATATTCTGCACTTTAATTTTGAAACATAATTCAACTGATTTGGACTTATTCTGAAGACAAGCACACAATAGACGCAACATGCTGGTTTTAAAAGCAGGAAGGCTAATGATAACTATTAAAAAGATAAAAAAATTGCTAATTATGCCATTAAGATTGTAATTATAGCCCAGTGTGTTAAATAGCTTTAAGTGTTACATGGGGAGGCCAAGCAATTATAAAGCCTAGGGTTCCGTCTGCATAATTGTAGAGCAGAAGTGCTGTTAACTGGTACATGCAGAGTATGGAGCTGGGTGACTGACTGACGGACTGTGGGAAGTGGCTAGTGCGCGTGAAGGTCGATCTTGACTCTTGTACTGTAGCACAAAACACACACAATTTTAGGGTCCCAGAAATATAGCCACATACACACACCAACACAATGATTAAAGTGTCAATCATCAGGGCCATTTCCTGCGGTGAGCCCTCCTCTTTTCCCTGCAAGGGTCCGCCAGCTGAAATGAAAGTTGGCCGGGTTGGTGCTATACGCAGACCTTACTTTTTCTTGCGTTTGATTTGTGCAATCAGAGCCTATTCACAACAGCATCCGCATTGAAAAGACGGAATCAAAAGTGAACTAGAATGACATCCAGTCTAACCAGAAACCAGAAGAATTCATCACATAGTCACTCCTGAATATTGATTTTATGTATGGCCGTTTTGTTCATTTAGTGATCATAAACACCAGTGTGTAATGGTAGCTTTGGATACACAAATAAGACACAATATTGTAATACCAATTTTGCTTCTAGCTCCAATGTAAATTAACTAATTACAAATAATGAGAACAGAATGGTTTTTTGTACAAATGTCACAATAATTTCATTTCAACTATTATCACATTCAAGTGTTTGTTTTTCTTTACACAGCTGCATAGTTAGGAAATGATAATTGTAAAGGCATCATGGATCATATATTCAGTTGATATTTTCTCATTAGCTGAACATACCATTGTGTTAAATCAATATCATTATGCTCACAACATCCAGATTTAATGAAGGCAGCTCCCAATGACTGCATATACATTTAATTAAATGCTGCATTCACATTGTAGCTTTCTACTTAATCAATCGCTTGTTGCAAATGGAAATGTTAAGTTAATATAGTGGCAAAGTGACTTTTATATCATTACATCCCTTACACATTATTCTTTATTAGATGAACTATTGTTACACATGAATTGAGAGTTAAAGATGGTGTCTTGTAAAAGTCTAATTTTATGCACAGGACATTAGGCACTGAAGTCACACCTCTAGTATGAGGAAACTTGTGGATCAATCAGGCCTAATCCATCCTACGCTTTCATTTGTGCGTTTCTGAAAGTCTTCTAATGGCTCATATTACAACCTTCTCTAGCTAATCAGCTGTGGCCACACGTCCTCATGCATGTCCATTTAGGCCTCCACTCCTGGTCATTGCCTGCATCACAGAACCATCCTCCTCCAACCACGGTGGCTGTACAAACACTAATGCTAAAACATAAAAAAACTTGTCAAAACTGCGGAGGATGTCATTAGCACTAAATAGTTACAGCCCTATTTCTCTGGGTCCAATGTGCGTCAATAACATTGGTAACATTGGTGTGTAAGAAAGTCCCACGAGGTGACTTGGGCTGTCTGTCTGGATCAACCAAAGAGCCCTCTCCTCTCCCTCCTCTGTCTTCCTCTCCTCTTAGCCACTGTGGCAAGGTTCTGTTCTCACTTTAGTCAACCAATAGGGCCATAATAAGTATTGATTAAGCTATTAGCCAACATTACCGAGTCACTGGCAGCCACTGTGTTTAGAATCAGCACCTCAGGAGCCTGTCACATTCAGAGGAGCAGTTTGTGTGTGTGGGTGTGTGGGTAGTTAGTTAGCGAAGCTCCTAAACTACTATTCTCTTCTCCATTTCCCCTTGTCGTCCTCAGCCCATCTCCAAGCTCTCTCTATCCAGTGCCGTAACTGAAGTCCAATCAAGAGAGGAGTCCGCTTCAGAACACACGCTGTACTGCAGTGAACGGGGAGGGGGAAGTCCGACACAGCGGCGGGGAATCAGATAAAAAAGGCTTGATTACAAAGGACAAGGTCACCGCGAGTAGAGACACAGGTTAGAGGCGAGAGCGGCGCACACCTGCACAATGCGCTCACACATTGTTTTGGAGAGGCTCACGAGAGGCACCTTCTGAATACATGTTTAAAGCGAATACTAATAGGTGTCAGTGCAAGGACGTGACTCCAACAGACAGGATGGCCTCAGCAACAAGAATGCTATCATCTGAATTCAAAAGCACGTATAGATCAAGGCCTCTGTATCAAAACTATGCAAGTCCAAATATATAACGACATTATTTTGGTGACATTCCTGCTGTAGCTTCACCTATAGTGATGAGATTTGAAAGGCAGTTTAAGACATATACTGATTGTTTGGGCTCGCAGCAAGAGCTCTGGTATGCACTATCTCTTGTATTGAAACTGTTTTTGTTGATTGATTTCACAGCGTCAATTGGTTCCTGCACTTTTTTTAGTTGGCTTTATTTCTGTACTTTTAACCTTGTTTTACATATGTACTTGTCTGGTGCACACTGGGGACTCTTGCAAATGTATTCCAATGTGGTGTTAATGTAAACGGCAAATAAACTGAATCTGAATCTTCAATTGTTATGAAAAATGTCCAACTCTAAATATTTTGAATGTCCACCCATCACTCTGCAAGGCTAAAAAATACAGTATAATATCTGCATTTCAGTCCTGATTCATCTTCTATATAAAGCTTGGTTAGTCTCCAAAACATTTCAGCAGGGCTTATGATACAACCCTAGAGCTGTGTCACTTCTCACCAGTCCCCAAAAACGCCCTGCTTCTTAGGCCATCCACTGGGCCCACGCCCTGGTTCTCCCGCCTCCTTCCTGATCATAGAAGAAATTCAGTGTGGCAATTACCTAAGTCTTTTATCAGTCATTTCAAAGGGGGAAAATTAGAGCAATTGTGTCAGGATGGTCATATGGGCAGAAATTGCACACTTATTGGGTGCACTTACGCCTGTGACTCCGCTCCCTGCACTGATGGGGCCCATTGTTGTGGGATGGTGCTTCTGAGGCTGCTGATTGGCCCCAAGAGCAGATGCACCAGGTCCCCCCTCCATCCCCCTCACCCCTACGCCCAATTCTCCCTCCTGCTTTACCTTGCCTTCTCGTGCCCACACAGCCTTTGTCTCCCCGCAGACCTCAAGCCTAATTGAATATAAATGACACCAGTTCTTTAATGGGGTGACAGGCTATCATCAAAGTTAAGACCAAACCATTGCTTTCTTTGTTGGTTAATTCATTTGACCCGGATCCACTTGTTCTTCTGTACCTGCTCTGCTGATGCCTGCACTTCTTGTTGTGTTTACTCCACAGTTTTAGCCACTCCCCCTTTCTAGTTTATATACTGTATATCTATGTCATTTAAATACAACATAGCATCTACTTCTATTGCAATGCGCCAATTAAGACGTTCACTCCGACACTTGGGTTGAAATTATTCACAGTGCATACAGAAATACATGCAGCACCATGTGACCCCACAGAGCAGGGCCTTTAGCTAACGATAGAAGCCTAGATCTAAGAGTAAGTGTGTCTGCTCACAGGGATCTTTCCCTAAATGCTAACTAGATTCAGGCAGTGAATCCTAGCAGTAAATGCTAAGTCTATGGCTTAATCGTCGACTCTAGCCCCTCCGCACCGCAGGGAGCTGCCAGGCCTCTCTATTCCCACTCCACTGGCCACACATCTCCACTCAATCTGTCTTAGCATATTGATTTCCCAGCTGTCTCATTGGTTCCTAACATAATTATGGCTGGCTGGGCTAGGGGCACAGGCGCAGGGCTAATACATTTACACCAGGCCCCATCAGCACGGGCTTATATTCATGTCATTGAGAGAACTGGAGATTGGATGCCCCAAAGAGGCACAGCTACTAGGAGAATTTGGGAGCTTTGCTCTAATGAAAAAGGGAATTAGCTGGATCGACCTCCATCACATCACAGGATCGATAAAAAGCGGCTATGGACATATTCAGGGAGAAATACGGGCTGTATTAAAACTGTCATTATTGCTGTTTACTTGTTTGATTGTCAACTCCTGGAAATCACTGAGCTTCATGACCTCTGCCACAAAAATGCCACAAAAATGTAGATAGGGACAATTCATATGTACTGTATAAAGTCCGTTTAAAGTGCCTTTTGTATAAATACAACATCAGGCATGTTAATTTTACAGACTCCGAATCTCTTTGGAGAGACAAGAGGTAAAAGTAAAATGAGAAAAAAATCTTCAGGAAGTGCAAAGAAAAGAAGGTCAGAGTCTATCTATTTCAGCGTGCCTAATTGTTGTCAGAAGCTGACCTAAAACGCAGAGACAGTATTTTTCAAAGTCAAGGATGAGGCAGAGGAGGGGTGGGCCATTCATCACGCTATCTCCCTTCCTCCTCCGCCCACCATCCGGGACCAGCGAAGGTCTGCTACTTATTTAATTCTATGGATCAGGTCCTTAATGGCAAACTCCAACCCCATAAATTAGACATGCAGTAGATTAGGATATCTGGACTAAGACACAGAGCTGCCTATGGTTCAGACGTGTAAGGTCACCCAGGCGCTGGTCCATCAATTTTTCAATAAACTTTTGATTACTTGCCACACATTACTTGCCTCTTTTTGACTGTTGCACTGAGCCAAAGCAATTTCCAAGTCTGTGACCTCCCGTTACTTACGTTGGCAATAAAAATGATTCTGATTCTGATTCTGATGTAGTGATGTGATGTAAACAATCAAAGTATCTATGTTATATTGTACTCAAGGTGGCTAAGCAGAATAATTGCAGGTGAAACATTCATGAAAAAGAAACCTTTTGAAAGGGGGTTATTTTTCATGTTTAAAAATATATTGTAAGAGCTTATAATCAAACTTGGGTTAAATGGTGTCATTAATGAAAACAACGGCGCGGTGACAACAGTGCTACACTTGAGCCATAACACTTTCTGCACTTTGGAGTGTGATCAGCGTGGGGTTCCGCTATTGTGTTTCTCTGAGCCCATAAAATACTTTTAATGGCTGTAACTGCTTTCACTTGGGAAAATTGCTTTATTGTATTCGTTATTAGGGTTCCCATTTTCCATCACACCATAGCAACACCAGTCTTTCATGGCGGTTATATAGTCGCCATGTGATGCACTCAACAATACAGTTCACTGGTCATTTCTGTGAATTTCAATCACTCATAATTTTATTTCTTCTATTTTGCCGTTCTATTTGCCTGGACTAAACACATTTATTTCCCTTGTCTCTTTTCTTGCTGTGGCATTTTGGACAGTCCCCAACATGGGCTGACAGTTATTTTGGCTCCTGGCAGCACAGACATTGACTGTCAACGGGACGTCTCGTTTCTTTTATTCATTTCTTCTTTCCTGAGAGATGCTGCTGAATGCAAGTCAGCCTTTCCTCCCTGGAGGGCGGGTGGACAGTGTGTGGTGGTGGGTGGAGGGTGGAGGGGGAGAGTCGGGCAGTGTGTGGATGGGGGGGGGGGGAGAGGGGAAGGTAAGGGGAGGGGTGATAAGACATGTCGGGAGGTGTGCTGTGCAGTGGCAGGCCAACACTCTCACAGGACTTCACTTTTATTTGTGTGTTTGTGTGCGTATGTGTTTGTGCATGTGTGAGTTTGTGCAAATGTGTGTGTGTGTGTGTGTGTGTGTGTGTCAGGGGTTAGTCAGACACCCTCCATTGACCATTACACCATCCATATTTAGCCACCCTTGCTTTATAAGAAAAAGAAACACATGGTGCAATAGAGCTGAACGATTGTGGAAAAAAAATATCTGTGTCTTTGAAACATATCAATAGAAATTGTCTATGCACCTCAGGTTTAGGGGTAAATCGCTCGATTACACAATATTGTGTCAAATGCAAATTGTAGTTTGTCATATGCAAATTTTAAATACATGTGTGTAACTCTTCAGGTTATTCTTTCTTGAATATATTTCTGACAGTATTTCTCTTATGGATTTTAGTTTAAGGGCCGCACTTTGTGTATGAATAATCTCAGGAGCTTAAAGGGTTAAAACCTGAATCTTTTTTTCCCCTAAATCATGTGTCTATTGAATTGTGATTTTTTTTGGAATTGTATCAAGTAGCAACAGTCCCCATCAGGAACTTTGTAGTCCTACTGCATAGCCTTCAGTGTTCCTCGAGGGGATTTTTAGCTAAAACTCTTCTTTGCGACATGACATTTTGCAACAGCTTATATAATGTAATCTAAAAACATACAAACGAACTGTGGTCATCTTTTCAGCATGTAGATAAAAAAAAAAAAATACATGTACATTTCCCAAAATTCCACCAGAGAAAATCAAAAAACACTGGACCATTTGTGGCTAGTGTGAAAGCATGAAACAAAGCGTGTGTGTGTGCGTGTGTGTGCGTGTGTGTGTGTGTGTGTGTGTGTTTGTGTGTGTGTGTGTGTGTGTGTGTGCGTGTGTGTGTGTGTCCATGACCTGTGAGCGTCTATCCTCGTCTGTGTCGGTATAATTGGGTTGTTGCGTGTCAGGGGAACACCAGCAGATTTTTGTGTGCAAGTCTACAGCGGTCAGGCACCATAATGGCTGTTTTTGCCTGATGAAAGCCGCAAAGCGCAGGTGCAGTGTCTGTTTTGATAAAGGGAGCGTGCATGCCATTGAGCGAGCCCTGCATTGATGCCTGGATAAAAAAACATGATCAATAAAATAAACAAGTCCATCACCTCTATTAGTGACACAACACCATGGGATCAAGGTATGTGCAAATGGAATGCAGGACGGCTGGCGGGGCAGGGGGCACATTTTTAAGCAGAATTAGATGCCATCGAACGCATTGAAACAGCGTCATTATGGAAGAAATATGCTTTGAGGAGCAGGCTGCAAACACTAATAAGGATGTCAGTGTTCACAAATGAGGAGCATTCGGTCTCAAACAGCTGGAGGAGGGAAAACTTCCTTCTAAATAATGTTAAATCTGGGTTACCAATTCCAAAACAGTTTAGTTCTATCACTAGTTTTTGCTCTGTCGCAGGTTTAGATCAGCTTTTTCAGACAGAACAGTTAAAAAGAGAGGACCACCCTCACCGGAATTGTAACTCGCAGGGTTTGTTCTTATGTGTGCAAAATAAAACATGATTTCTGATGGATGATTTGTGGACAACATTTTACAAGACTCTTTTTTTAATGGAATAAACAATATGGATTATTTAGGAGAAAAAAAAGAACATTGCATGAAATCAGCAAAATGGCATTTAAAAAACAGCAAAAGCTACAGCAGCTCTACAGTAGACCTGTGGTTCTTAAACTTGTGTTCTTTTTTTGTCCCGTAATCACAAACACAATTGTTTAAAATTCAAACATAATGATGATAATAATAATAATGCAATGGTTTTATATAGCGCTTTTTTGGACACTCAAAGACACCTCACATGTCATTATTCATTCACTCTACATACGGTAATAATAAACTACTACTGTAGCCACAGCTGCCCTGGGCAACACTAACAGAAGTGAGGCAACTAATACGTGCCATCGACCCCTTCAAACAAACATTCTAAAGTGTCTTGCCTAAGGACGCTACAACAGTTTGGTACTTTACTGCCTGACTGTGGCTTGGTTGTTCCCAGAGGTCTCTCATCACAGTACAAGCCAGGCCCTGCCCTGCTTAGTGCCGGAGGTCAGAAAAGATCTGGCTTTCACATGCAGGTGGCACCACATGTACCATCATTCTTATGTGAAGAATTATTTCATTTTTATAAGCATATTTCCAAAACAATGTTTTGGTTTTTAAGAGGTGAAAGTTTGATTAAAATCTTTTGTCTTTTGGGAAGCAACCATCTTTTTACAGCTCAGGGGCAAGGCTAGGGCATCTTTAGGGGTAGGCATTCAGTGGATTTTTTAAACACCTTCGGATGAGAATGATATCAAAAATAAATACAGTTGCTATTTAGTAAAGTACGCTGCAGCCGTAATTAAACAAAATTCTGTGCCTGAAGAGATGCACCACACAAAAAAGAAAAGGAAAGAAAACCCTGGTGTGCACTGCCTCTTCTCTCCTCTCTCTTTTCCTTTTCCACCAACTTTATCTGAACAGTGCTGCATTGCTAACACGAGAAATACATCCGGCACTCCGTGGTGTGTGTGTATCCTCTCCGCTGTGTGTGTGTGTGTGCGCTCCAGGGTATGTGTGTG